GTTCTCCATTCTGTCGTGCTAACAGCACGCTAAAGATGATAATCGTGCGACGAAAAAAATAGTACCTATTCGTGTGGTCACAAAGTCTAGAACCCACGGACTGCTTCCCGCTGATCTCCGGAGGGCGCAGCCCGTGTCGAGCGGGAATCCTAATACGGTTGTGAGGTTAAGCAGTTATGTGCAGGACGTGACGATTTCCTGGGTGAGCCCAGAACCAGAGCGCCATGTGCCGGCTCTGCATTTATGGAAGCCTCCTTGGATGGCGGGGAATGCCCATGATCTGCCCCTGCCTTCCCTTGAGGTCCAACCGTTCAACACAGGACTGTCCCAAATGGAGTACTTCAGAGGCAACACCTATGGAGAAAGGGACAAAGAGGACACCACACAAATAATCTCACATCTCGACCCACACACACAAAAAAAAATGGCCACACTCATCCTAGAAATAGGACTGACGTCTTCCCTCGAAGTCGGAGTACATCTGCCCGTGAAGCAGGGGACTGCAAAAGTCAGTAAAACGGTTGTACACGCAAAACTCAGGTCCTTTTAAAAGCCAAAAGTCCAAGCGGACGATTAACCGGGACCTTCCGCCGGAATTCACAGCCGATGAACGAAGAAAAATTACTGAGGATCAAGATGAGAAAACACTCACAATCTACAGGATGCATACATTTAAGAACGCTTGCTTATAATAAAGGTCATGTCTTCAAAATTATAAAGCTCTCACTTTGCAGCGGTCATGGCAGTAATGTGATTGAAGGCGTGTATCTTCTTAGACGGAACAGGGGCTGAAAAGCACAAGGATACAAGATCTAGACCATGGATCTAAGAGAGGGCAAGGGCTGATCAGCACATGGATACAAGATCTAGATCATGGATCTAAGACAGGGCAAGGGTTGATCAGCACATGGATACAAGATCTAGATCATGGATCTAAGACAGGGCAAGGGTTGATCAGCACATGGATACAAGATCTAGATCATGGATCTAAGACAGGGCAAGGGTTGACCACACAAGGATACAAGATCTAGATCATGAATCTAAGACAGGGCAAGGGTTGATCAGCACATGGATACAAGATCTAGATCAGGGATCTAAGACAGGGCAAGGGTTGATCAGCACATGGATACAAGATCTAGATCATGGATCTAAGACAGGGCAAGGGTTGATCAGCACATGGATACAAGATCTAGATCATGGATCTAAGACAGGGCAAGGGTTGATCAGCACATGGATACAAGATCTAGATCATGGATCTTCTGACAAGGACACTGATTGACCAACAAGAGCATACAAGTCTAAATCATGGATCCTCTAAGTTAGGTCAAGGACTGACTAATACATGGATACAAGACATGAATCATTGATCCTCTAAAAAGCGTTGATGTTAGTTGAGCTGTTTCAAGAACCCACATTACAGCACTCAGAGCTTTACCTTAAGCTTTCCGTTTATACCTTTAGCAGTCAGCGTCGAGTACCAGTACTAGAGGTGCCAGTAGAAGTATGATTATGATTTCTTCTTTTTCTTCTTCTTCTTCTTCTTCTTCTTTCTCTTCTTCTTCTTCTTCTTCTTCTTCTTCTTCTTCTTCTTCTTCTTCTTCTTCTTCTGCTGCTGCTGCTGCTGCTGCTTCTTCTTCTTCTTTTTCCTCCTCTTCTTCTTCTTCTTCTTCTTCTTCTTCTTCTTCTTCTTCTTCTTCTTCTCTTCCTTCTTGTCTCTCTTCTTCTTCTTCTTCTTCTTCTTCTTCTTCTTCTTCTTCTTTTTCTTCTTCTTCTTCTTCTCTTCTTCTTCATCTTCTTCTTCTTCTTCTTCTTTCTTCTTCTTCTTCTTCTTCTTCTTCTTCTTCTTCTTCTCTTCTTCTTCTTCTTCTTTCTTCTTCTTCTTCTTCTTCTTTCTTCTTCTTCTTCTTCTTTTTTTCCTTCTTCTTTCTTCTCCTTCGTCGTTGTCGTCGTCTTTGCTTACCGGCTGTAAGTTCCGGTGGAAAGTCCTGGTTGTTCAACCATTTTGACTTTGGATTTGTTCCAGAGCCTGAGTTTTGCATGTACATCGGTTTTACTGTTCGTTCGTTCGATTTCAATTAGCAACGTCCAACCTCTGGCCAGGGAGCTAGTCCTAGTCAATATCGGTTATAATTATTGCAACAATTTTTTTGCTTTTTCATTTGCTAGTATTTTATGTCTTCCGTGTCTATATGGAGGGCCAGGTCGTGTCTTTCTGATAGTGGAGGCATGGATCTAATTATGTCATGTGTTTTTTATTGTGGCATTCGTTTGGTGATTTTGTGCTGCCAATGAAAGGGAAGTCTCCTGAGCTCTTTGTTGTGATACTGCATACCAGTTCTTTGTGTCGTTTTAATAGCTGTGTTCGTTGTTGTTCTGCCTATAGGTCTTCATTTGCAATCGCAATCTTGACCGGGCTTCGTTCAAGTTGTTGGTATACTTCAGTACAACGTGCATTCTTTTGTACTTCCGTTCTATAATCGCCGATTGGTATAATCTTGCCGCTGCTAATTGTCTTTGGTCCGTGTGCCATTTATCTAAAGTCTGTTTGGTTCGTTTCACCTGCTCGTTCATGATTTTATTATTTACAACTGTTCTGCCTCTCCCATGTGGTCTTTGCCTTGACTTTTGAGTTTGAGTTTTTTTTTTCATGTTCCACATCCTCGTCATCGTATTTTCTTTGTTGGTCTCGTTGTTTCCTTGTGTCATTTAGTAGAGCCACTATTTTAAATCGTCCATTGAAGCTATCTCTTTCGCCATTTGACCTCCACATTCTAGCGTGGTCTTCAGGATTTCTCTGACCTCCTTCATCTCCTTGCGTACACGTGCATGCTGCATGTCCCCTTTTTCATTGTCTTCTTGGAGGTTTAATATTTCACTTTCCAGTTTGTAATCTGGCATTGAAACTGTGCTGTATCCAGGGATTGGCTGCTCTTTGGAGCTTTTTGTTTCTTTTGCGCTTATCTATAGGATAACTTTTCCTTGATTGCTGTTTTCGTCGTTCCCTTAAAATTTTGTAGGTATAGGCAGACCAGATATCTGGCTCCATGCGGACCGAAGCAGTTGGTACACTTTCTAAAGGAATCGGGCTTTCGGAATTCCTTAACATTACAGGCCATTGGACACTCTCTTAAAGGGTGAGGCTCTGCACAAAACCTTCAAATATCTTGCTTGCTGAGGCAAATCTATCTGGAATGCTATCACCTCTGACAATTGGAACATGGCACCTGCTCAGGTTTCTGACTTTTTGTGTAACCAATTAGGTGTTCCTTGAAGGACTGGAAAAGACACTGACACCTTGAGACTATGTAAAATCAAGGCATAGCAAGTGACTGAACGCGCCCTAGCTCGGCTGCCGATCGTCTGATGAACTGTAACGCCTAGAGGCATAAGCAGATATTGTCAAAAGAAGATCACCAAAGTAAGAATCATCCTGGATTAATTGCTAACTGTCCACCTCTGTGGCCACTGCTGGCCACTCCATGCACTCTGGACTAAATGCGATTATGAATCTACACAAATGTGACTGTTCCACTGGCACCCTGACCATCTCCTCTCCTCGCCTCGCCTAATATTCTCCAGGATGCAAACCTGTCTGATCGTGTTTTTTGCATATGCCATCCGTGACTTCCCTCTTATCAGCCCCAGACCCTTACCTGCGTCCAGCGCTACTAAGACGAGGCAAGGACTGACCAATACATTCAGGCAAGGGCTGACCAATACATGCAGGCATGGGTTGACCAATACATGCAGGCAAGGTTTGACCAATACATGCAGGCAAGGGTTGACCAATACATGCAGGCAAGGGCTGACCAATACATCCAGGCAGGCAAGGGCTGACCAATACATGCAGGCATGGGTTGACCAATACATGCAGGCAAGGGCTGACCAATACATGCAGGCATGGGTTGACCAATACATGCAGGCAAGGGTTGACCAATACATGCAGGCAAGGGCTGACTAATACATGCAGGCAAGGGCTGACCAATACATCCAGGCAGGCAAGGGCTGACCAATACATGCAGGCATGGGTTTACCAATACAGACAGGCAAGGGTTGACCAATACATGCAGGCAAGGGTTGACCAATACATGCAGGCAAGGGTTGACCAATACATACAGGCAAGGGTTGACTAATACATGCAGGCAAGGGTTGACCAATACATACAGGCAAGGGTTGACCAATACATGCAGGCAAGGGTTGACCAATACATCCAGGCAAGGGTTGACCAATACATGCAGGCAAGGACTGACCAATACATTCAGGCAAGGGCTGACTAATACATGCAGGCAAGGGCTGACCAATACATCCAGACAGGACTGAACAATACATGCAGGCAAGGGTTGACCAATACAGACAGGCAAGGGCTGACCAATACATCCAGGCAAGGGTTGACCAATACATGCAGGCAAGGGCTGACCAATACATTCAGGCAAGGGCTGACCAATACATACAGGCAAGGGTTGCCCAAAACATGCAGGCAAGGGTTGACCAATACATGCAGGCAAGGGTTGACCAATACATACAGGCAAGGGTTGACTAATACATGCAGGCAAGGGTTGACCAATACATGCAGGCAAGAGCTGACTAATACAGGCAAGAGCTGACTAATACATAGAGGCAAGGGCTGACTAATACATGCAGGCAGGCAAGACTGAATAATACATGCATGCAAGACCTTGATAAATTATTTTTTAAACCCAACCTTGAAAACACTTGAAACCGTTTTTCGGTCTCTAATGGCCGCTATGATCTGTTAAATATTTGAAATCGTTCTTTATCAATTTTCCACAATGGAGAGTGATAGGGAGCAAATAGAAAGAGAGAGTGAGAGAGAGAGAAAGAGAGAGAGAGAGAGAGAGAGAGAGAGAGAGAGAGAGAGAGAGAGAGAGAGAGAGAGAGAAGAGTATAAACTACATCTGTATAACGAGTACAATTCAGAGGAAACTTGAGAAGAGATAACAATTACCAAATAATTTATTCAGTAAAGCAGAAAGGACACATTACTCTATTCTCTTGAGCAAAAATGAGAACTCTAGAGATTCATGCAGGCTTGGCCTTGAAGGGTGCCATTTTGTACGTTTCTCCACCTTGGCGTCTGAGACCTTGTATCGTTTGCTCTCAAACTCCTCCAGGTCAAAGTTTGAAGATGCTGGACTTGCGAACCGGAACCTGGTGTTGTCATAGGTCCAGGATTCAAGAGTGAAGGAAATTCTTACGCCTGCTGAAGAACTCAAACCTTTCAGATCAGCATGGATGCCGACACGCATTTGAGGTGCGTAGGTGATTTCCCCATCAGCGGAGACTACAGCTATCTCAGGAGACAGTGGTTCTTGGACGCTGACTCCGTTTGTAGGAGCTGTGTCCGGTGACCAGAGGTAGCGCAAAGGGATGCTGACATTGTCTACGTCAGGCTTGCTGTTGCTCCAGGCGAGAGATGGGCTTCGCCAAATCAATTTCTGCCTGAGGACTATTTCAACTACTTCGGCTTCCGGGTCGGCTGTGACCACATACAGGAGACTGTTCTCCACTTTGACCTCCACGGGTTTGGGGTTCATGGAGTCAATGGGGATGGTGTCGGGGTCGGATTTCTCTCTGAGATTATCAATTATCTCTTTATCTCTCAGGATAATGCTCTCCTCTGCCGCCCTTGCTGAAAACAGATCATGGAGATAAAGTTAACTATACATGTTTGTCAAATCTCTCTGGAAAACATATCATAAAGATAAAGTTAACTATACATGTTTCTCAGTCCTCTCTGAAAAGCATATCATGAAGATGAAGTTAACTATATGTGTTTCTGAGTTCTGTCTGGAAAACATACCATGAAGATGAAGTTAACTATACATGTTTGTCAAATCTCTCTGGAAAACAGATCAAGAAGATGAAATTAACTACACGTGTTTTTCAGTTCTCTCTGGAAAACAGATCATGAAGATGAAGTTAACTATACATGTGTGTCAGTTTTCTCTGGAAAACAGATCAAGAAGATGAAATTAACTATACATGTGTGTCAGTTCTCTCTGGAAAACAGATCATGAAGATGAAGTTAACTATACTTGTGTGTCAGTTCTCTCTGGAAAACAGATCATGAAGATGAAGTTAACTATATATGTGTGTCAGTTCTCTCTGGAAAACAGATCATGAAAATGAAGTTAACTATACATGTGTGTCAGTTCTCTCTGGAAAACAGATCAAGAAGATGAAATTAACTATACATGTGTGTCAGTTCTTTCTGGAAAACAGATCATGAAGATGAAGTTAACTATACTTGTGTGTCAGTTCTCTCTGGAAAACAGATCATGAAGATGAAGTTAACTATATATGTGTGTCAGTTCTCTCTGGAAAACAGATCATGAAAATGAAGTTAACTATACATGTGTGTCAGTTCTCTCTGGAAAACAGATCATGAAGATGAAGTTAACTATACATGTGTGTCAGTTCTCTCTGGAACACTTGTGGTAATATTACAATACTGATATCCTATAGGCTACACACAAGAAGTATTTTGTTTTCACGCATTTTCTTGATCTGTTTGGATTATTTTGGTTTGACAGTTTATACGTAAAAGGAAAAATAACGACTCAAAATAAGTTTTAAGAGGTTAAAACTGCTTTTTCTGCGCTCGACATTTAAAAACCAGCTGTTACGGTGGTATGTCCAGTGTCAGTAAACGATTCATTAATTGGTTGTCTGTTTCGACATGCTTGTTATGGGGCAGTAGTCTGTCACCCCTCCCTCCCTCCTTCCCCTCTTCAGTTTATAACCTCCAGAGGTGAGATTATCTTGTGATCACGTTACATGTGGGGAGCCGATATGGTGTCATGGCTAGGTGGTCACCCTGCCGGGGCGTCAGGTGCATACTACAGTACCAGTTACTTCATCATTATCATCATCAGGTGCCTTGCCGACTGGCGTGGGCGATCATGCCTCTCCATAATCCGCAATCTCCTGCAGCATGTATCAGTTCGTGTGCCGACACACCTCCATGCCATGCAACAAGACTGTCAAGCATCTTCTCTCGTTGTCTTCCTCTATCCCTCCTTCCACAGATCTTTCCAGTGGTCACAACATGTTCTATTTTCCCTCTTCTCATAACATGGCCGAAAAATGATGACTGTCTCCTTCTGATGTCAGTGATAAGTTGTCTTCGGTCTCCCGCCTCTTTTAAAACCTCTTGGTTGCTCTTTTTGGCTGTCCAAGGTATTCTCAGCATTCTTCTGTAAAACCACATCTCTGAGGCCTCCAAAAACTGTTTGGCCTGCCTACCGATTGTCCAGTTACTTAATGAAGCAAAAAAGTGAATCCTTTGTAACTTAAGTGCAATTTCAAAAACGATCAAAACTTAATGTTACAGTGTCTATGTTACAGTGTCTATGTTACAGTGTCTATGTTACAATGTCTATATTACAGTGTCTATGTTACAGTGTCTATGTTACAGTGTCTATGTTACAGTGTCTATGTTACAGTGTCTATGTTACACTACATGATAAGATGTACATGGTGCTGGCATCATAACTAACATTTTATTTGGTGAAAATGTTTGTCCAAACTTTGCTCCCCAACAATGGGACCCCCGACACTGTATTCTGTTAGCCTGCTTCCTGTCTCCTGGTATTTGAGGTAGTGCCATGACAACCAGGGCAACGGCCGTGGTGCAGCGGCGAGATGATCACCTTTAGATCGAAGTCGTGGATTCGAGTCCTGGCGGAACCTGACAACTTTTTTATTTTTCCTAGATGACATTGGATCCCAGCATTAAGTGGGTATCATGTATAGTCCTGGAAAGAAAAGGCGTCCGGCGTAATGCTAACCACATCATCCACCGAGTGCCGATGTCTATAAACTATATGTCTAGCCCTATATGCCCGAAACAGAAGAGAGCGTGGAAAAAGGTCCTTGACCGTACTTTTACATTACAGCCACAATGTTTCCATGTATCTGCTTCGCCAGTCATTTTGATGATGTCTGTGACTTACTGAGTGACAAGTTCTCAGGGAAAGCTATGTATATCTACACGATTATCGTTGCCATAATTCATCAACATAGTTTGACATTTATTCACTCTTTGAGTTTCTTGATATTTTGCTGTACGTGGTTACGGCGAACAAATTCGATCGTCAAAAGATGTAATTTTTCCAGGAGATACTTATGTTAAAATATCTAGGTACATCTGTTGTGCTTAAAAAGAGACTTCTGGTCAAAATGGAAGTAAGTCACGTTCACTTCTTTTTTTTTTTTTTCTTTTTTTTTTCTTAGCCATGGCAAATGTTTTCATCTGACAGACGGTCGTTGCTGCTTTTTCCTTCATTTGTGGACTGAAAAGATATAGTTTTGTCGCCAGCTACTGAGATATGTGCATGGTGCCACACTTGGAATGATGCGTACGTGCGCGCTTGTGTGTGTGGCTGTGAAAATGGGTAAAAAGCAGATTTAGAAACTTGCGAGTGGCCTTATGCTGCATACTTGATGATGATTTATTTGATTTAAATCAATCTGTTTGTAATCACTGCTTCTGTCAATGATGAACTATATTTCTATTGTCGGACTGTTTGGGTTAGCACTTCTTATGGCTGCCTTATATTTTAATGCACGTGTATGCTAGTGGATCTGCTGAGACTGCAGTCTATGTCAGTGTTTCCACAAGGAAGAGTGATTGACATGTGTGTTTTTTCGTTGGCACATGAGCAAAACCTGGCCAAGATGGCGGAATAAGCTGCGTCAATCACTGTGCAGTTTTGATAAATTTTGTTTTAGGGGATTTCCATCAAATTTTTGTTCAAACAAGGATGATCCACCGACAGGCCCAGAAATCCAGTAGGGGATTTGTTTGTTCAAGCACCATTGCTCAAGATTTATGGTGTATTTTAAAAGAAAAAGCGCGATGACACCAGCGCTTCAAACCGCCACACACAAGACAGAGTCATGAAAGAAACACCGGCCAAGATAGACACATCAGGCACGACAGTTTTTAAGATGGCTACATGGAACATTTGTGGTATGGGGGATAAAGTGGCTGAATTGGTTGAATTTATGATTAAGAGTAAAATCAAAGTTTTGGGAATTGCTGATATCAGAAGAAAAGCTCAAGGCGTCCAGAAAATTCATAAGAACTTTGTTCTGATTTGGAAAGGGACTCAACCACAAGAAACTAACAAACATGGAGTGGGTTTTATCATTGCTCCAGAAACCGCAAAATATTTACTAGATTCAATGAGTTAATACCTTGACTAGTGTAACATTTCAATGAGATAATATCTAGACTAGTGTAACATGTCAATGAGATAATACCTAGACCAGTGTAACATATCAATGAGTTAATACCTAGACTAGTGTAACATGTCAATGAGTTAATACCTAGACCAGTGTAACATGTCAATGAGTTCATACCTTGACCAGTGTAACATGTCAATGAGTTAATACCTTGACTAGTGTAACATGTCAATGAGTTAATACCTAGACCAGTGTAACATGTCAATGAGTTCATACCTTGACCAGTGTAACATGTCAATGAGTTAATACCTTGACTAGTGTAACATGTCAATCAGTTAATACCTAGACTAGTGTAACATGTCAATGAGCTAATACCTAGACTAGTGTATCATGTCAATCAGTTAATACCTAGACTAGTGTAACATGTCATTGAGCTAATACCTAGACTAGTGTAACATATCAATGAGCTAATACCTAGACTAGTGTAACATGTCAATGAGTTAATACCTAGACTAGTGTAACACGTCAATTTGTTAATACATGGACTATTGTAACATTTCAATGAGTTAATACCTAGACTAGTGTAACATGTCAATGTGTTATTATCTAGCCTAGTGTAACATGTCAATGAGTTAATACCTAGACTAGTGTAACATGTCAATGAGTTAATACCTAGACTAGTTTAACATGTCAATGAGTTAATACCTAGACTAGTGTAACATGTCAATGAGTTAATACCTAGACTAGTTTAACATGTCAATGAGTTAATACCTAGACTAGTGTAACATGTCAATGTGTTAACACCTAGACTAGTGTAACATGTCAATGAGTTAATACCTAGAGCCACCACAAGAAGAGCAAACAGAAGTCGAAGTCCCATCTTAGTTGTAGTGTACGAATATGAGAAGTCCAGCAAGTTTCCCTGTAACCAACAACTCCAATGACCGCTGCTCTTTTATATCAGCACAATTTATTTTCTCTTCACAGATAACTTATCACACAATGCGGCCATTTTCACGCTCGTTCTAATTACGTTGTCACTGGGGAACATTTTACTGCCAACAATAGCAATTTATACCTTCATGAATCGATATGTAAAGATTGTGTGATCAGCGTCGGCGCCCAAAGAAGGGTAACAATTTGTAAACTTTTAAACTCACATGAAGCAATGTCAGTTGCCCTCAAGTTCTCATTTTTTTCTCAGAGTCCATGCCGTGTGGCGTTGGTAGTCATGTCTATTCACAGCCTTTTGTCTCGTGTACTTTCAGTCAACTCTGACACAGATGATCTTCCATGCCATGATGTCAGACTATCCAGCATCTGTTCTATCGGTCTCCCTCTGACTCTCCTCCCCTCCATCTTTCCTAGGATCCATTCTCTCGCCATGGGGTAGCACGTGGTGGGATTTTTTAAGTATCCAGAAAACAAGAGATGTAAACC